TCTTGCTGGCAATCAGTCTCAATTCCCTGCTTTATTCCTATACCTATGTAAGCTGATGTTTTTCAAGTGACCATCCAATTTCCTTTTGAAGTCAGTCATTGCCTCTGCTTACACCACCCTGACAGGATTGTTGGTAGCACCACTGTGTGTGCAAAAACAAAGTTCTTCCTCACATCCCTGCAACTCTTACCCCAAACCATATATTTGTGCCTCAGCCTTAAACCTTACGGTATCCACAAATGGAAACAGTTTTTCTTGGCTTACTTTATCTGAACCAGTCGCAATTTTCAGTTAAATCTCCACTCAGTTGCCTTTTGTACCAAAAAGAACATTATTGGCTTCTCCAATCTAAGACTGTAGGCCAAATTGAGCAGGTGTAAGGGACCAAACATCTTATTTCTGGTCCCAACTCATGTTTGAATAACCATGTAAGAGTAGATCGCAAAGGGCAGCCTGGCCATCTTAAATTATCAGCAACTGTCAGATTCACTGCCCAGTGAAATGTTGCTATTGGCAGGATATGTACAGAGTGATTTGGGATATGGTGTAAGAATGAATATCAAAATGATCTCCAAATTGGAGAGTTCATTGGTTCAAAGCAGCCCATCGGAAAATAAAATTAAGGGTTAAAAACAGTCACTATTCTTGATTTTCTAAAGATATGTATTTAAAATATTTAAATGTTAAAAGTGACATTAAGCTCCTTTCAAATTGAAAGAACTTTTTTTTAGAAAAAGCCTTCATTGTATCTGGTTGCCGCATACTCAATTAACATGCAGCAGATTGAGAATGTATTGATTACTCCTGTGTGTATCCAATTAGCCAGGGGACTAATTAATACATTCTTAAGCAAGTTAGTATTTTAATTTTGCAGAAAATATGCAGATAGTCTGAAATTAAAACAAATGTTGGAAATATTCAGCATATCAGGAAACATCAGTGTAGAATGCAACTGAGTTAATCACCAAGATACTGCAACAGTTATTGCAGTCACATACACGGGAGTCATCTTGGGACATGCACAAGTTCCATTGCACCGGAGTCTGTGGGAATTGCGTGGGAAGTTAAAACTTCCAATGGCAATAAACTGGCTTGAACCTACAAGAAACGTCCCCAGTTCTGATTGAGAGTTGTAGACTTCAGATGGTTTCAACTCAGCTAACTGTTCAGATAAGAGAGAAGTTTTTTTTTTAGAAAAAAAGCATGATTTCAACACTAAGCTCTCCACTGCTGCCTTCAGTTTGTGAACTAGTCACTGCTCCTTTGGCTAGGAAGACTCCTGGCTGAGATGTCTGCTGAACAAAAAAAAAACTAAAGTTTATGACATACAGATAGGGTAAAGATAAAGACTAAAAAATTGTGAATGCTTTAAAAAAAACATCAAAATCACTTGAGGAGTTAGTTTAAAATCAGTTAATGAAGCATTTTACTGTATTACACAAAAATAAAGCTACTTATTGAAATAACTCCAGAGGCCAGTATCCCATCACCAAGTCACCCTTTATTTACTTGCTCACAGTATACTGGCTGTGGCTAGCCAGCTCAGTCAGTCCCTGAACTGAGGAGATTGTAGATCTGCTGTGTTTTGTGCTTACTTTCCCCCACAGCACCCGTGTGTGTGTGTGTGTGTGTGTGTGTGTGTGTGTGTGTGTGCATGCACGGACTCAATGAAGACAGTGTGCAAATCATTTTATCCAGTACTTCTACCACCAGGAAAAGCACCCGAGTGGCCAGGGAACCAATAACAAGCAAAAGTCAAATAGGGATATAATACTTACATGAAAAAAAGTGAAGCAGGAGGGTATGGGTTAAATCAAAATAAATTGGGGAGGAAGAAATAAAGCACTCCATCCCCTGCAGTACCCACCTCTCCCTAAAGGCTTTGTGTATTGCTGGGCACTGTGCTCCCTCTCCAAGGACACCCAGGCTTGAACATAGCTGCAGAAGAGGGGCAGACAGTCAGCTGAAGTGACCCCCACCATGGCCCACTGCCTGAACCTGTTTATTGCCAGCCTGGCCAGGCCCTGGACCAGACCCATGAAGAAATTCTCTGACCTACGCACACCAGGTGCCCAAAGATCAGGAGCATGGAGCTGAAGTGCAGCCAAAAACAGAGCAAAACATTCATCAAGTAAATAATAAGGGAGTGCAAATGTCCATAACCAACATATACATGGTCCACAGACTTCACAGTGCCACAAAACAAACAGTTGAGCTGGGAGTCCATGAACCACCACAATCTGCAGTTAATCCCCATTTATACTGGTTAGCCAGGACTCCCTAATTGGGCCAAGTCAACAACCCTAATCAAGGATCTGTTAACAAGGTCCACCTGGTTCCAATCATGATATCCCTCCCTTCCCAAGTCAGGGAGGTAGGCCCGGTCTTTCTCCTGAGCTTTTCCTGCAACATTTTTGACCTAGGCCTGGTTCCTCTGATTTGGACTCTGACATGGGCAGCATATACTGGACCTTAGCCTGTCTACTGCAACCAGAGTGTCTTGAGAGAGTTTGCGCCCCTCTTCCTGGCAGTAATAGTATCGAGGCTGCACTCAACGTGGACTCTGAGGTTTCCTCGACACTAGGCGGAGGGGGAGAACCCACAGCTTCTGACAGGTTTTTTGGCTGTTCTAAGGGGCCAGGTATATTTTGCTCCTGCTCCATTTTCAAGATATCAGCTTTCAGGTGATCCACATGTTTGTTCAGGACCACCTCACCTACCTAAGGTTTGTAAGTGATGGGACCTGACCTCGCATCAATCTCAACAGGGCCATTCCCATGGTTCCAGCACCAAACTTTGTCCCCCGATGTAAATGGTTCCTCTCTCTTCAAGGAAGCATGTGGATGGCATTGGCGTTCCTGCTGCCATTTCACCCTGCCCACCAGGTGCAGAAATATCAGGTTTAACCTGGTGTGGAGTCTTCTCCCCATCAGCAACTCTGCTGGAGCTATCCCTGTAGTTGCGTGAAAGTGGTCATATAATCGAACAGGAACTGGGACAGTTTGGTATCGAGTGACCCCACTGTAGGCTTTAAGCCTGCCTTGAACGATTAGACTGCTCTTTTCGCCAGACCATCGAACGATGGATGGTATGGAACGGTCCTCATGTGCTGCAAGCCATTTGACTTTAGGAAATACTCTCATTCCCTGCTGGTAAGTGACATCCCATTGTCCGTGACCAATACTCCTGGGAGTCCGTGTATTGCAAACAATGCTCGCAGCTTCTCAGTCATCATCCCTAAGTTTGCCACATGAGCTTTCCACACATCCAACCACTTTGAAAGGGCATCCACAATGACAATGAACATTGAGCCCATGAAGGGCCTGACATAGTTGACGAGTAAGCGAGTCCAGGGTGAATCTTGCTAAAGACAGGTTCTGCAACCACAGATACGGCTAAACCAGTATCAACCTCCATGAGAACTGGGTGACCATTTAACCAAACATTAATTTTAATTGGTTCCGATTTGAATGTTGCCAAGCATTTTAATGGTTCCAACCCACACGTAGGTGGACTTCAGACAGCGCTCTCTCCTGGATACTGGGCTAAGTTTTCTTAAGTCAGGCCTTCTAGGACTCCTTTGCTGTCGTGGGTCCACGTACAGGCAACAACTACAGTGGGTTATCTGGATCCAATCCTGAAGAAACTTTTCAGCCACATGGCCAAGGCTCAGTTTTGTTGTTGGATTTTGCTATGGACCGGCCTAGGATCCACCTGCTCAGGATATGACCTGCATGAGGCTTTGCAATGGCCTACACTCAAGTGGCATTCCCCACACTCAGTCAGAGAGGTGAGGGTGTCCTCTTCCTTTGAGATGCCCTGTAGCTCCCATGCTCCACGTGCTGCATTTTCTAATGACAAAGGCAGTTATAGTGCCTGCTTGAAATACAGTTGGGCTTCAGCTAGTAGGCACTTTTGCAGCATTACATCATTAATTTCACACACCAAATGGCCTCTCAGCGTCTCAGTCAGGGTTAACCCAAAAGCACATGCCTCTGCTAGTGATCTAAACCTTGTCAAAAATCCTGATACAGATTCCCTGGTTCTTTAACCAAAAATGCTGCAGGCCTCCCAAATAAACAGAAGGAGTACTCATTGCTTTTCATCTGCCCAAATGTCATTTGTCTGGAAAAAATACCACATTCTTTATACATACTGGGTCTCGCCTTCAGCAGCAGGATCAAATGGGTCACACTTCCCAACTAAAGGCATGATGCCAGAAATGCTCACCCAACTCAAATGTTCTTCAGGCTCATACTGTTTTCTACTGTCACCACTGAAATAACTGCACAGAAGCCAGTATCCCATCACCAAGTCACTTTTTATTTACGTGGCACAGTACATTGGCTGTAGCCAACCAGCTCAGAGTCAGTCCCCTAAACTAAGGAGATTCTGAATCCCCCGTTTATATCTGTCAGCCAGGGCTTCCTGATTGGCCCAGGTTAATAATCCCAATCAAGGATCTTGCAGTCAATGAGATCCATCTGATTCCAATCACTGCACTTATCCTTGGCTTGTCCTATTGCTTGTCAAATTTTATAAACCCCAGTTTGCTGTTAAAAATTGTATTCCATATGTTGAATGGTAGGAGGAGCAAAGCTGAAATTTTCTCCAATTTTAATGATTGTCAACTCTGCTGGGAGGGTCTAAATTCAAGTTCTATCATGACAAGCTGTGAAATGGAATTGACTAAATCTGATACATTTTTGATGCTGTTAAATTTATCATACAAAGCTACTGGATTATCTTTACAATAACCAACTGGTCCACTGATATCCTTCAGCTAAGGGACTTTACTATCTCTGCCTAATGTTATCCATATTTGCCTCCATTACTTAATAATGTGGCCAACTCTCCTCTGACTTCAGGGCAGCCAGATAAGAAATACTTGGCAATGCTTTTGCAAGATGGCACCAAGTTTAAAACCAAAGAAATGTGAACGTTCAGGTTACAATGTATTTTTTTAAAGGTTTTAAAATGCAAGTTTCTTTTTATTTCAGAGAAGACTTCTCTAAAAGAGCATCATACTGACCTGGCAGAAAATGGATCACATGTGGAAAGAGATTCTACAAGCATCAGGCCACAATCTTTGGATCTCCAGCAATTTATTATGGATGAAGAAAATATTGATGTCAGTACTGAAATGTTCAGTTACATGGAGGGTTATGTAAGTTACAAATTGAAATTATTTTTAGAGATTAATTTTTGTCGATAAAGTTCTAAGGATGTGTTTGAATTTAAACAATTATGTAAGATCAGTTTCAGTCCATAGTATTTATAGTAAAGATTGTTTAGATTGCTGAGAGTTGGTTCAAAAGTGTTTTAATATTTAATGATAATTAATATTTAATAATATTTGCTATCTCGTTATAATTAATATTTAATTTAATAATATTTGTATTTAGGCTTAGGCATATTTGTAAGTCCAAAAATAAGTTGTATAATTCAGAATAAGATTACATACAGGTAAAAATTACTTGTGTGATCTTCTACATAGTCTCATATTGTTTCCACAATTACTTTGCTGCAAAGTTGTTTTGAATGCTCATCAGTATCTGAGGAGCCAAATGTGGAAAGGCAAAAGGGAGTTGTGGAGGCCGGATCACTGAAAGTATTTAAATTTTTTGAAATATCAGGGAATTGAGAGCTACGAGGAGCTGACAAGAAAGAGGAGTTGAAACCTGGGCATTTCAGCCATGATCTTATAGAACGGCTTGTCAAGCTTGAAGGGCTGAATGATCCACTCCTGCTCCTAGTTCTTATGATTGTTTTAGGTAACTTTGGTGTAACGTTTGAAATCTTCTCATACCGCATAGAGTCAGAAATACTGTAGCTGCGGCACATCGAAAATTGCATGTTTGTTATTTCAATGGCAGTCTTTCATTTTGAAAGATGATAGTTTGTACAATAGTGGTCATTTTTCTGTGTTGAGCATTGCCTAGTGTGGCTCAGGAGCCCCACTCTGACATGATGGTCTCTGCCACGTCTACTGCTGGGGAAGACAGTGGGCTGAGATGGCACACGATTCGCTGGCCTAAGTTTTCTCAGGGCCCTTTGCTCTGCCAACTGAGCCTTCAGTCTCTGCTCACCTCTTCTATTACCCTATCTAACAGTCAATCTTCACCAAGTTACAGCCCTTAGCGACTGTCTCCCAGTTACCTGTGGAAATGTCTGCAATGCTCATGTCTTACTCATGTGCCCTAGTAGCAGAGGTGTAGATGCCCATGACTAAGTAGCCAGTTCACCATGCAGAAGGTCTCCAGGTATATTTTTGTTTACAACAGTAAGCTGTTGTTTATCCAATGAATGTGGCTGAGCCAGTGCAAATATTGGTGGCTTAACAATCAATGAGTGCGTGCATGCTAATTGAAATAGCTTGCTCTGCGACCTCTGAGGTGGTTATCTCCTCCTTCCAAGAGGTGCTGAGTATAAAAGCTGAGACAGCAAAAGTGGAAATTGTTCAACCTTTTCCCCACCCTGGTATATGTTGTATAGGTCTTACCACTGGAGAGCAATGTACTGAAGACACATGCATGGCAAAGTTACTATTCAAGTTGCTGTTACTCCATGGTCTCTGATTAAACACAGCACAGTGGCACAGTGGTTAGCACTGCTGCCTCACAGCACCAGGGACCAGGGTTCGATTCCACGATCGGGTGACTGTCTCCGTGGAGTATGCACATTCTCCCCGTGTCTGTGTGGGTTTCTTCCGGCTCCTCTGATTTCCTCCCACAGTCCAAAGATGTGCAGGCTGGGTGGATTGGCCATGCTAAATTGCCCTTCGTGTTCAGGTATGTGCAGATTAGGTGGGTTTTCGGGGATGGCTCTGGGTGGGGTGCTCTGAGGGTTAGTGTGAACTTGTTGGGCTGAAGGACCTGTTTCCACACTGTAGGGATTTTATGATGATAAACACTGGGTCCGATTGCATTTTTTTTGATTAGCCATCAAAAGAAGGATTCTGCTTTCGCTTGGGCCTGTGTCGCTGGACATCAACAATAAGGAAAAAAAGAACCAAAAAGAACTGCAGATGCTTTAATCAGGAACAGAAACAGAAATTGCTGGAAAATCTCAGCAGGTCTGGCAGCATCTGTAGAGAGAAAGCAGAATTAACATTTCAGGTTCAGTGACCCTTCCTTAGAACGAACTTTCATTCTGATCTGAAGAAGGGCCACTGGACCCAAAACATTAATCTGCTTTCTCTCTACAGACGCTGCCAGACCTGCTGAGATTTTCCAGCAAATTTTGATTTTGTTTATAGACAATAAGAACACTGCTTTGTTGGAGATGATGCACTGACATGTGCAGAATCTGGACTGCATTTCTCTCTCTTCCCTTACAGGCCAGTTTCATTTCTCTTCCACATTACAGCTTATCTTTAAGGTCCAATATTTCACCGCAGACCAACAGTTAAATAGGGTTAAAATAATCGTCAAAGCAGTTATTCAATGAGGCTGCAGGACCTGAGTGGATGATTATGTATCCCGATTCCCTGAAAGTGAGCTAACAGGCCTAGATATGGGGATGAAAGTATCTCCCCTGATCTTATTAGTTCCCCTAAATGATTGGTGGGCTGTCCTGGCCAAGTACTGTCTATCTGGGAGAACGGTGTCACCACTGTCACATCAATTTCTGGCTCATGATTGCTACTCTTTTAAAAACTGGATGTGTGTTTCAGAATAATTGTGGCTAAATTATCTATCCCATTCTAAAATGCTTTACATTGGTATTATTTCTACAACACACACCTACCTTCAGAATGTTTACAAAGGTGATTAGTGCCTAGCTTTCAGTAACCTAATGAAAATAGCATAAACTTAATTATCTGCACATTCATGGACTTTGGAATGAGATGAGCAATCATATGCCATCTTCAGGTACTGTAGAGAATGACTTTCAAAACTCTATTTACACAGTAGAAGTGAATCCTCACGCATTGTACAAAATTATTTATTTATTGTTAATTTATTTATTTTTGCGTGTTTGTTAGAAAATACAGTGAAAAGTGTTGTATAGTGTTGCCACTCTCTCTGGCACCATCTTAAATCAGAGAATCCCTACAGTGTGGAAGTAGGCCATTCAGCCCATCGAATCCACACCAAAGAGTATCCCACCCAAACCCACTCCTCTATTCTATCCCTGTAACCCTGCACTTCCCATGGTTAATCCATCCAGTCTGCACATCCCTGAATGTAATGGACAATTTCATTGTGGCCAGTCCATCTGACCTACATGTTTTTGGACTGTGGGAGGAAACCGGAGGAAACCCACGCAGATATGGGGCGAGTCACCCGAGGGTGGAATCCAACCTTGGTCCCTGGCACTGTCAGGCAGCAGTGCTAACCACTGAGTCACAATGCCGCCAGGGTAAATCACAGAAAAATATAGAATATAAAAGCAGAAAAAGAAGAAATAATGAAAGTGTCCAACTTTACAGTCCTTCTCGTTAAGTAGTCCTCCATGGGCCATGGGCCTGGTGACCAGGCATGAGTACCCTTCGCTGTGCCACCGCCACTGGACCAAAAGTCACGACTCTTCACTTCCATCTCACCACTGAGTCCCCACTGGACCTTGCCAATACAGACACCACCATTACTGCCGGGTACCACACCGGCCCAAACTTGATTCCACCTCTGCCACGAGTCTGCTTCAGGCCCATCTCGCCGAGGTAGTTGCTGCTGATACTACCGGGCCTCTTACTGGGCCCAAACCCACCACCTCCATGAATCTGCGCAGGATACAGACACCTCTGGGACCCCAAACTCACCTCTGCAGCAGCAGCAGCTGTGAGTCAGTGCTAGGACTGCCTCGTCAATGTGGAAGGTGCCGGAAACCAAAATGCGCCCCTGCCATCCATCTGCTGTGCTGGGCCCACTCACCACTGCTAATGCCATCGCCGTGACTGAGCTCTTCACCAAGAGGTAAGTAAAATAAAAAAAACGAGAAAAATGTCAAGAAAAGAGAAACAAAAAGAAAAGAGAAGTAAAGAAAAGCACATGGAGCAGACAAACTCCAGACTCAGAGCCCTACTCCACCGCAATCTTACTGGTAATGCAGAAGAATTGACTATTTACCAGGGTTTGTTCATGTAAACCACTCCTCGCCCTCTGTGCCTGACCATGCCAGCATATAACGAGATTATGCATCATGCTGGGAGAAACAGTGCAGCTTAGTAAGAATTTCGGCTGAACCTTGTCGTATTTTGGTCCAAATATTGATTTTGTCGAGCTTCATTGGAGGTTCTGTCTTCTTGAGGCCCAGTGAGGCTTGTCAGCATATCGTCACAAATTTGCCTCATTCACAAAATACTCCTGCCGAATGACAATGCTCTTGACTGATATTCCCGTGTCCAAAACAACTTGTCACTGCCAGGATATCCCAGAAGAGACCAGCATCCATGGCACCATATTCTAAAGTCCATTGTGTACCCACACAACCACTGTCAGTCCAGAGTTCACCTTGCATGGTGACTCGATTTTTCCCGGACATGTCAGAGAAGTGGAAATTCTTTGGCCCACTTTGTGGACAGGGACCTGGATGTTTTGGTGGTCAACTTAATGCAAAGTAGAGCTGACCCCCTTCCCTTATGACTGGGAGTGGGGTCTCCGACACCAGACCCTGCCAGCCTGCCTGAGATTGCTACTTGGGTCGGTGTCGTCTCAGCCATCTGGAGAAATGCACAGCACTGTAAAAACAAGTTCTCCGCTCTGCCAGGGTAAGTGCCACCATCTTCCCTCTGCTACCTCACCCTCGTTGTATCTCTGCTACTGCACTCCCACCAAGGCTCCTGCTGTACCATTATCACTATGGCATACACCTCTGCTCTCACTCTGTTCTCACCCACCCCAGTAAGCCACATCATGCCCTCTGTGTTACCTACTTACTCACTTTGAGTAACTCACCAATTTTTCTCCCACATTGATCTCCCTCAATAACTTTCTTTGTTTCATTCTGGAAGAAACAGCCAACAATAGGGCAGAAAGAACTAGGGCAGGTGGTGGGCTGCCCATCCTTTAGCTCCTTATCCCTTGCAAGGAAAGGACCTTGACCCTGACCACTCTGAGCAGCTGACTGACTATGCCCAAGCTCCTGGACAGGTATCTGAGGTTGCGGTTGACTTAGTGTGCCAGGAACGTCCAACTGAAGATGGCATTCCTTGGCGTGACCAGA